GTCCCCTCCCCCTCCCCCTCCTCCCCCCCCTCCACCTCCTCCGCCAAATGCTCTGCAAGGTGGCGGTGGTGGTGGCAGTGGCTCTATACAGGGGGAAAATAACAATAAGTCTGATAATTTTCACTGGATTTGTAAGCTTCATTTTTTTCTATTTTTGGCTTTTCAGGACAGAGTTTCTCAGCAAGCTCTTGCTGTCCCAGAACTCACTTTAGACCAGACTGGCCTCTAACTTTGAGATCCACCTGCCTCTGCCTCTCCATTAAAGACATGCGCCATCACTGCGCCAGACTTCACTTTTTCTTTTTCGTAACCTAGGTACCCCAACTGATAAGACTCTTGATTCTTTTCCATGAAAAACTGAGTGATTTGGGTGCACTTCTAGGGTTAACAACCCTCAGGACAGAGGAAAGGGAGCTTACCCTGGCGCCTCATCTCCTGCCGGACAGCCTCCAGCCCACCCTGGTCCTCAATGAAGTCATAGATAAGCTTGGAAGTCTCTGCATCAGTGAGCTGGGCCTCGCTGATTCCCGCCCTGGAGAAGAGGCTCCGCAGATCTGGGTCAAGGTTGTTCACCTGCGCCAGTGGGAAAAGGGCAGCGCAGGGTTGCAAGAATAAAGCAAATTAGGAAGGGGCACAGATTATCACCAAATGCATCACAGGGAGGGATCCAAGAAGGCTGTGAGAAGGTCTGGGTCTGAGAGTGGGGTTTGAGCCTTGGTCTCCAAAGCAGAGTCCAGGGGTCTTTGAGCTACTCACGTCAAATCCATTCTGGGGATCCCAGCCCACGTGGCTGACATGTCTAGGGAAGGGAAGGGGTATCAGTGAAGCCCCAGGGTCTTCCCTCACCTGGCAAAGCTCTCTTGCCCTCACCTTCCCAGAGGGGCTCTGAGGGGCTGAACAAGTGGGCAAGTGTGAGCAGGAGTTTGCAAAATTAGAAAAGTGCAGTTTGTGAGGCCAATGTGTTCACTTGCTCCTCTTCTCACCATCCGCCCATCTGATCCTGTGTCTACCCTGGTCCACATCCATCCATCAGACCACACATGTGTCCATGCTTCTGTCCCTCTGCCCATCTGCTCACCTCCATATGTTTACAAATTTGCCCACCAATTTCTCTTTCGTCATATTGTCTACCCATCTATCATGTATTCACCTTTTCTTCCTTCCTCTCTTCTGCCCTTCCCTCCTCCTCCTCTTTCCCTTCCCCGACTTTCTTTCTTATCTAAATTGTTTTGTTTTGTTTCTTTTTCAAGACAGGGTTTCTCTGTGTAATAGCTCTGGCTGTCCTGGAACTCACTCTGGAGACCATTCTGGCCTTGAACTCACAGAGATCCACTTGCCTCTGCCTCCCAAGTGCTGGGATTAAAGGTGTGTGTCATCACTGCATGGCTCCTGAGTTGTTTTTTGAGACAGCATCTCTTGGAACCTAGGGTGGCTTCTAACATTCTAAGCAGTTGAACTGACTTTGAAGCCTTGGCCTTAATGCCGCTATCTCAAAAGTTCTGGGATTATAGTAGTGCCCTACTGCACTTGGCAATCCATTTGCATCTCTACATTGTATTTCACACTTGTGTTCACTTATAAACTACCCATTCACCCACTTGACTATCTATCCCTATCCACTTTGTCTGAGAACCAATCAACCCACATATCAATAACCTGCCTATATCTCATCCACTTGCCCACTTACCACTGACTCATCTATTCCTCCAACCATTCACCTACCCATTTGTTCTTCAACCCATTAATTAGTTAACTCATCCATCCATTCACCTAACCCATCCACCCATTTGCCCATCCTTCCATGTGCTCAGCTATACACCTGTTCACATACTTTCCCACCCACTGGGATCTTTGGGCTCACAGAGGGAAAAGTTCTCACTTGAATCCACTTGGTGCACCGATATCAGCTTTACTGATCTTCTTTTTCCCTGAACGTTTCTTATCAGCCGGGCCAGGGCCAGGTGCAGGGAGCCCACGGTATCGTGAACTTGTGATATCAGGGTTCTGAATGTCGACTGTCACAAGTCCTAGAGATAGTGGACTACCTGATGGGCCTATGGAGAGAATAGTGTGAATGAATCACTGATCAACTTACCTACTAGCTAAAGCACAGGGGCAAGAAATAGAAAGACTATTGAAGAAGGAATGTATGTGCTTGATGGTCATGGAGGAAATGAATGACAGAAGTCTTGACAAGGCCTATGAAGAGGTGGATGGGTCCCCAAAATTATTCAGTCACTGATTCATATATGCTTATCATTCAGGTAGTGACTCATTCATTCTCTGGCTGGTAGGCTAAATGGCTTATTAAGTTATTTATTTGTTTGATTATTTAATCTTCCCTGGGTAGAATATTACATTCTTTAATCTCATTTTTGTGATTTAATTTTGTATATGGGGTATATGATATAAATGTGTGTGGATGTGCATGCATGCATAGCACATTGTGGAGGTTGGAAGACAACTTTATTTTTTTTAATTTTTTTTCTTTTTGGTGGCTGGAGAGACAGCCGTGGGTGCTGGGAACCAAACTCTTATATTTTGGGTTGTGAGCCTAGCCTTTAACGGCTGAGCCATCTCTCCAGCCCTATTTTTTTAATTTTTAATTTTATTTTATATA